ATCGTTTAATCGTTTAACTGCTTAATCGTTTATTAATCGTTTAACCAACAATAGTTCATAAGATTTTTCATTTTATTCATATTTAGCCGGTGAATATAAAGATGATTAATTAAGCTCAGTATATGCTTAAAAATGTTAATCAAGTTTATTAATACTGTACTATTATATAATATATAGTTTTTTTTTATAATTCAAGTTCATTAATATATATTATTATATAATAATGATTACGTAGCCTTGATCTTTTTCGGCGTGATTTTATGAGGTTTTTTTACTTCTGTATCTTGCGCTTCTAAAACTTCAATAATGAACTTAAGGTCAGCGTGTGCCCCGCTGTATAGCAGGGACGTGTGGATTTTGTGATTTGCTGTGATCGAAGCAAATCACAGAAAGTATGTGATTTACTTCGATTTACTTCGATTACAGTAAAATATAGTTTTCAAGCGGGGATTTATATTTTCAAGCATATTAAACAGTTATAGAACATCCACTCTTCTATAACCAAATACCGGTTTTTGGAAGAAAAAAGTTGTAGAAAATTACTATGTTTTCTTAAGAACCCATGGCACTTTCTATACCGAACTGTTATGAAATTTAAAATTTTGAGTTCGTTATGTCCAGAAGTCATTATATTGAGGTTGTTATATACAGAGTCGACTATATAATAATATATGAAAATATATAATTTTTTTTAGAATAGATAATATTATCAAGAAAATAAAGCTATAATAGCAGTTTGGACACGACAACAAACACTTTTATAACGATTGTAAATCGTAAACAGTCTGAATGAAATTTAGTGCAACACATTTTTTTTAAAAAAAACGCGTTTTTTTATTATATAAATTGTTAAAATTTATGTACAGATAAATAACTTGTAATTGAATCTGTGTTTTTATTATTAATCAGCAGTAAATCACAGATTTCGCAAGTCCCTGCTGTACAGTTCATACGCGTCCGGCAGAATCTCCAGATCTTCATGGTACAGGACCATGTATTTTTTTTACGTCGGAAGAGTAACCCAAACACACGTTGGTGTACGGTAACGGTAAACGACACTTTTGTCTAAAATCGAAGGTGTTTTTAAAATAATGGTTGACGATATTCATAAATGTTCTATGGTTTTTAGTATAAACAACACTGAATCATTCGCGCAATTTGTCAATATTACTTAACCCAAATTTCCAATGCACGTATTGTTTTAAATTATAGAACAAAGGGATCTTTTCCCACCGTTAACGGGCAAGGGACAAGAGAAAATATCACCTTCGTCGTTCATGATGCCTATGCTGTAAGGCCTTAGAGACAATAGCTCACCTTTCCGCTGGTGAGGGGCGTCCAATTTCGCACAGATTTCATCAAAAAGGTTAATAAGCTTATTGTCCTTGGCTTTAGGACTGTAAGTTGACCTATTTAACAGGCTAGGTGTGGGGTCGTAATCACCTAAGACCCTGGTTATCTGATAAACGAACCACTTGACATCATAACCGGCATCAGACTCTGTCTTACGGTGGTTAATTGTTTGGTTGTTATATTTATCACTTCGCAATGCCTTAGGTTGTCCGAAATGATAATCGAGCGCTTGGCTAGGATTTCTTTTTCAATAAAATTCCGAGAAAGGTTCAGGTTATCTAAGTCATAAATGCCGTGAAGACTAACATATTCCTTGAAAACGAAGCACCACCCTAAATCTGGCTTAACCCTTGTCTTGGTAATCAAGATCAGGTGTTGCGCTCCGTAAGTTTCAATAAAGCTTATGGTCAATTTGTTCACGCCGTCATACTGGAATGTGGTCAACCATTCCAAAGCTAAGTCGGTACTTTGAATAAAATTGCCACCTGTGTGTTCTTCTGGCGTGTAACAAAAATAACCTTCCTTAAGGTACGTAAGGGTATATAAACTAGGATATAAAGATTTTGATTTTCTGTTGGTTTATAATTCGACAGGGAGAAAGAACGTACCATAAATGTGGTTAACCTGAGGGTTGTTATACAAAAATTCATTAATGTCGGCGATACTATAATAATGGCCATTGTCGTGAAGCGGTTCCGATTAATTCACCGACAGTCATTTCACCGAATGCTCATTTAGCCGACACATAGGGTTAGGGTTAAGCATTTGATAAGTTGCAGGTATATATTTTTACTAAATTTCACCTGGGGTGTTGTCGGC